GCCCTCGGGGCGGGCGGGGGAAGCGCCGGCTCTCCCGAGGCAGAGTTTGGGGCGGCTGCCTGCCTGGACCCAGCTCCTTCTGCAGCCGCCGGGCTCCTCTTCCCTCGCCTCCCCCTTCGCCGCCGCACCAACTTGGGGGCTCGTAGGGGGACCCGGCTGCGGGTCGCCTCTGCAAAGGATCGGGGGGTGGGGGGGTGGAGGACACCTGCTTAACAGGTTGCTGCAGAGCCCAGGCTCGCCCGGTCTCCTCGTCAGATCGCTGGTGAGTCCCTCGGACGGGAGAACGTCGAGGGAGTCCCGGGTGGCCAGGCGGGCGCCGGCAAACCGCCCCTGCGGGTCTCCTGCCTGGACAACTCCTCGGGGGTCGCGGTGAGACGTGGCTTCCCACCACCGCCGCCACACGTGCGCCGGAAGCTGCCTGGGCCATGCGAGGAGCGTTTGGTCCCCAGTGGGAAGGAAAGTGGTCTTTGGGTAACGCCACCACCGGCATCCCCGGTCCTTTGACGAGGACCAGCCACACTGATGTGAAGCCTGGCTGAAGCCGGTCCCGCTCACCAGAGCGCCTCTTCCTCAGGCTGGATGGAACAAAAGGTGCCAGTGCTCCCTCTACGCTGTGGAGTCTTGTGAGCAAAAGTTCTACCTTGTGAGCAACTGGCCTTAAAGTTGTGGCAAGCGATTTGGCTGCTGCATAAATTAGTTTGCTCCGGAGCCATCCTTCCTGAGCTAAGACAAAAATGTGCAAGCCAGAGGCTAAAAGCCTGTAAGCTAGCTCACGCTAACTCAGTTTAGAGGGAACACTGCCTTCCATGCTGCATATTTCAGCAGAGGTCCGGTGAGCTGAAAAGCTGGCTCTAATGTTCTGGGCCAGTTTGGTTGGTCCTAATGCCTTTGTATCACAGGAACTGGATTCTGCACCGACCGATAGGGTTCTGCAGTTTTTATTTTTTTTAATTTTCTCAGAAAGACGGTGGGAAAATACAAATTCATCAGGTTTGTCAGATAATACGAGTTTGTTACATACATCAAGTAAGGTCAGATATACTACCAAATATATTACAGATTTCAAATATAGAAACAGACATTACAACATCAGTATTACAGAGTTTTCGGATAGATTCTCTCTTTAAAGAGTAAACAAGAACTTTCCTAAAGTTAGCGATAATCTATTAACGATAAAAGAAATTGAATCTTTAACAATTGAACAAACTTCTATGCTAAAATTGAATCACAGTAAAATCCTTACTATTGTCTTAATTGTTTATCTAAATCTCAATTTTATTCTTACCGGTTGTACAATTTTTGAAATAAATTATAAGCTTCATGCTACTACCAGATCCTTTTAGCTAGAATTGCTGGGCATCAAACCCAGGACCTGCTGTATGCCAAGCAGATACTCTGCCGGGGCCCCCCCCCTCACCCTGTCAGTTTACTAAACAATGGAAAACTTCCTTGGTTTGCTTAGTCAAGGAGGTTCCCAAGTGGCCAGATAGGCGATTTCTTCTCCCTCCTTCCCTCCATCTCCCCTCCCCTTTTTCCTATGCACCCTTAGGTGCCATTAGTGATGTCTCTAACTAGTGCCGTAACATGGTTCCATCTGAAATCTGAAACGAAAGGGTGCAGTATTGCTTTGCGTGCGCATGAGTCCTATTTCTAGTGCGTAATCTGCGGACGCTTCATTCATACATGTACTAATCCCCTGATACTACAATCTACCGGTGGTGAACATGAGGTGTGTGAATCGGCAGGAGCTCCTTAAAGTTTCAGGGCTGTTTCTAAGCCCACTCCGATGTCAGTGGGATCCTGGGATCCATTGATCTGGCAGGTGTAGATAGGGAGCTCATCCTTGTTCCCTTGACTGCCTCAGCAACGGAGGCAATCCTGCCAGACCCAGGAGGACTCTGGAATGATAGTTAACATAATTTACTGAGCAATTTGAGTGTGGTTCCTCCGAAGCCGGAGAATGTTGATTTGGTGATGCTGTACTGAGTGACTGATGTGATTGCAAGTATGGAAGTTGGTGGGGGGGGGGCCCTTTGGCATGTGAAACGTCATTGTCTTTTTTTCTGCCCCTGAGTTATTCATCTAGATGTGTGGTGTGATGCTTAAGAGTGTCAGACTAGGCAGGGTCTAAAGTCAGGTGGATAGTCGGGTTGGTCTGAAGCAACAGAACAAAGTTCGAGTCCAGTGGCACCTTTAAGACTAACCGAGTCTGATTCAAGGGATCAGCTTTCATGTGCAGAAACACTTCTTCAGATACACTGAGTAGGATCGGTGAGGTTTGGGTCCCAATCATGCTCCCTCTAAGCTGTGGGGTCTTGTGAGCAAAAATTCTACTTTGTGAGCTACTGGCATGAAAGTTGTGAGTTTGGCTGCTGCATAAATTAGTTTGCTCTGGAGCCCTCCTTCCTGAGCTAAGACAAAATTGTGTGAGCCGGAGGCTAAAAAACTGTGAGCTAGCTCACACTAACTCAGCTTAGAGGGAACACTGATCCCGATCCCCACCCTGCCGTGGAAGCTTGCTGGCTGAGTTGTAACCTGCTTTGGGTCCCTATGAGGGAGAAAGGCAAGTTGTAAAGGAAGATAAATAAAATACACGGTTCAGCTGCTGAAGGTATTCGTGGTCAGGTAAAGTGAGAGGAGGCAAAAGGCTGAGGATAACACTTCTGGAATATTGTGTGATCAGATCACAGTGCTTATTTGCAGCAGACATTCATTCCCAAGGAGATGGTTCTGTAGCCCTTTCCCCCAAACAAACTGGAAGCATTTTCATCATGGCGGCAGAGATGCTTTGAAGAGAACAAAAGCCCGTGACTTGGCCAGGACTGGCTTAGAAACATCTTGTTTCTGGTCTGATTCAGTAGCCGAATTATTATTTATTACAAGCCCTGCCACAGCATAGTCTACTGTAAACAATTCTTGTCTTGTCGATTCGGCTTTTCCGAGTAACCCTGGCATTCCTAACCACACCTGAAATATCTAGTGCATTCCCCCCCCGATTTTCTGCTAACAATAGAGTACATCGGTTCTCCCTGCCCTGTTTTCCCCTCACAACAACCCTGTGTGGTAGATTAGAATGAAGAAGAGAAGACATTGGATTTATACCCCACCCTTCACTCGGAGACTCAGAGCGGCTTACAAACTCCTTTCCCTTCCCCTCCCCACAACAGACACCCTGTAAGGTAGGTGGGGCTGAGAGAGCTCTTTCAAGAACTGCCCTTTCAAGGACAGCTCTTGTCAGAACTATGGCTTGCCCCAGGTCATCCAGCAGGTGCAAGTGGAGGAGTGGGGAATCAAACTCAGTTCTCCCAGATTAGAGTCTGTGCACTTAACCACTACACCAAACTGGCTCTCAGACTGACTGGCTCTAGGCCACTCAGCATGCTTTCTGACAGAGCAGGGATTTGAACTCGCATCTCCCCAACCCTAGTTGGACACTCTAAACCCCGCAGTGAGTTTGTAGCCCTGTTTTACCTGCTCCTTTGTCCTAGTGAGCTGCCCTGGCTTCTACCCAGTGTAGTTTGTGGAGTTTTAGTGCAAAATTGAAGATAGGAGAATGGACTGTGATCTGGGGAGTTCAGCTGTAGCCTCTGCCACCAGCTCCTACAGGCCTGGTCCCCCTGTCTGCAGTATCTATTTATATGCTTCATTTATAGCCCACCCTTCTCATTGAAACAAAAGGCGAATGACAAAATATTTCAAACAATGCATTAAAAACACTATAAGCCATGATGTACCATAAACAATGCAAAAACTGGATTACAGATATTAAAGGTAAAGGTTCCCTTGCTCGAAAGCCAGTCGAGTCCGACTCTAGGGTTGCGGTGCTCATCTCCGTTTCAAAGTCGAAGAGCCAGCACTGTCCGAAGACGTTTCCGTGGTCATGTGGCCGGCATGACTAACCACCAAGGCGCACGGAACGCTGTTACCTTCCCACCGGAGTGGTACCTATTTATCTACTTGCAATTTCTTGCTTTCGAACTGCTAGGTTGGCAGGAGCTGGAACTAGAGACGGGAGCTCACCCCGTCTTGCGGCACCCGGGTCTCGAACTGGTGAACTACTGACCTTCCACGGCCTGCAGTTCAGCGTCTTAACCACGGTGCAGTAAAAGCAAGGCAAAGAGACGCAACAAACTACAAGCCCTGTTCCCTTTATAAATGCAGCTTCTGGTGCCATTCCAGTCTCCTACAACCCTACTTCCTTTATAGCAAAGCCCTCCTGAACAATTCTGTTTTAAAATATTCTGCAGAGCAATAAAAGCACGGGTGCCTTCCTGACTTCCTCGGTAGCCATTCCACGAGGCGGGTAGCCGCAACAGAGAATTGATGGGACATGGCCTTAAAACACTTATTGATGCAGCTCTGTTGCCTGTCTGCCAAACAGACTCCCCAGGTAGCTATGGGGGTGGTAATCATACTGGCCGGCCTTACAGGGCAGTTGTTAAGAATTATGAGAATGTAAAGTGTATGGTGGACTGTAGTGAAGACCCTGTGTAAATGCAAAGTGTAGAGTGAAGACGCCATGCAGTGCAGACACACTGTAAATGCAGAGTGTTGAATCCTAGAAGTAATGTGGAAATTGCCTTGAGTGGAATTCGAATTGAACAGGTTTCTTTCCTTGGTACTCCTACCTACCACAAGGGCAGCTACGATGCCAAGTTTAGAGAACCTGTAAAAATTTATGAGGGGAAGTCTGTGTCCTCAGTTGTCTGCTCTTGTTTTTGAGTGGTTATGTTTTGGGTATATCCACATCTCATAGTTGTATTTGTTTTATGCTGGTGTGATTGTCATGGCTTCTTCTGGAGAATCCTGGGAAATGTAGTTTGTTGAGATGGTAGAGAAATCTCTGATAGGGACACCTTGCCCTTCCCTCTTGCAGAACCGCAATAGCCGGGGTTCTTTGGGAAAGATGGGAACTTGTTGACTTTTTAAAACCAATTTTTAGTCAGTGGCGTAGACACACCTTGGGTTGGCAAGGCGAGACAGGAAGAAAGCTCAGTTCTCGTTTAACATCAAGCGATGAGCTTCTACTGTCCTTTTTGCCTTGGTTCTGCCTGCCTGACTCATCCCTCATTATTCCTCATAATCAAGCCTGGGGAAACAGGAAGGCCTCTCTTGGGGCAAATCCTGGCATCTTTAATAAGAGTTTCCTTCCCAAGTGCTGCTGAGGAACTTGAATTACTAAATGGGCAGCAACAAATAAAGAGATGGCTGTGAATGCAATCTCCAATGAGAACAGTCTCCTTCCATATAAACCTGTGCTCCCCCCCCCCCTTTTGAGGGGGGTGTTCTGCCTGGTGCCTGCCTCCCATTGAGAAATAAATGTTTAGTTTAGGAAAACACATAGGACTCTCTCCCCCTCCCCTGTCATCCACAGTCAGGGCCTCTCCCTTATCTACAAGTTAATGTGTGGTCCAGGTCCCAAAGTGAACATACTCTTGCTTGCTTCCTGTATGCTTTATGATGCCCAAGAACCACCATCTTGGGAGATATTTTGTGGCCGCTCTACAGCCAGTGCCTTGTCTGTAGGAACTACAGAGCCAGTTTGGTGTACTGGTTAGGAGCGCAGACTCTAATCTGGGAGAACCAGGTTTGATTCCCCACTTCTCCACATGCAGCTGCTGGGTGACCTCGGGTCTGTTCTCTCAGGAGCAGTTCTCTCAGAGCTCTCTCAGCCCCATCTACCTCACAGGGTGTCTGTTGTGGGGAGAGGAAGGGAAGAAGATCGTAAGCCACTCTGAGACTCCGAGTGAAGAGTGGGGGTATAAATCCAATCTCTTTTTCTTCCAACCCATGTACAGAGACAGGGATTTTTCACGTCATCTATTCTTGATCCCTTTTGACAAGGATTGAACCTGGGACCTTCTGCGTGGAAAGTAGATGATCTGCCACTGAGCCATGCCTTGCGCCAATAAATACACTTGAGGCTGCGTTCTACTGAGTCAAGTGATTGGTCAAAGCCAGTATTGTCTACTCACGCTGGCAGTGGCTCTTCAGGGTCTTAGGTAGAGGTCTTACGTGACACCTGCTACTGATCCTTTTAACTGGACATGCCAAAGATTGAACATAGAAGAAGAAGAAGAGGAGATTGGATTTATACCCCGCCCTTCACTACCCAAAGGAGTCTCAGAGCGGCTTACAAACTCCTTTCCCTTTCCCTCCCCACAACAGACACCCTGTGAGGTAGGTGGGTTTGAGAGAGCTCTTGACTGAAACTGCTCTTTTTCAAGAACAGCTCTTATCAGAACTACGGCTTGCCCAAGGTCATCCAGCCAGGTGCAAGTGGAGGAGTGGGATTGGGGGGGGTGGGGCAGAACAACCATTAAGATACCAGCTTACGAAAGACATCCATGCATTCTGTGAACTAAGGCAGATCATGAGAGGGAGGGCAGGAAGGGTTGCCTCAGTGCTTAGTTCTTGTGGCCCTTTCTGACACGCCCAGGGAAATGCTGATCGCCACTTTGGGGTCAGGCAGCCGTTTTCCTCCAGGCAAGCTTGGCTGGAGATCCTGGAGGTTTTTTATCATCTGGGTGTGGAACAGTGGTCACTGGGTGTGTGTGAGGGGGAGGTATTTGTGAATTTCCTGCATTGTGCAGGGGGTTGGACTAGATAGAGGTCCCTTCCAATTCTATGATTCTGTGATTTAGTAGAGGGTCAGGTTTGCTTGCATTTTTGCACACCCGTGCATGGTTTATACGGACATTGGTCTGGCCTAAATTTACAAATGTCCAAAGCAGCTTGTTTCCACTTCCCTATCCCCATCCCAATAACTGAACATAGTTTACTGCCTACACATGCCTAGGGATGTCAGCTCCAGGTTAGAAAATTCCGGAAGATTTGGAGGAAGGTGCCTGGGGAGGATGGGGCTTGGGAAGGGGAGGTACCTCAGCTGGGTATGTCATAGAGTCCACCCTCCAAACCAGCCCTCTTCTCTGGGGGAGCTGATCGCTGTAATTCTGAGAGATTGTCAGGCCCTCCCTGGAGGTCTACAACCGTAAGTCCATCAAAGCAGATCTCGGAAGCTAAGCAGAGGCCAACCCTGGCAAGTATTAGGAAGAGCGATCTCCAAGGAATACCAGGACTGGGACGCAGAGGCAGGCAATCAATCCACCTCTCTGAAACAACCTAGCCCCACTAGGGGTCGCCAGAAGTCACCATGACTTCCAGGCTCACAAGCACACACAAAATACAAAAAAAAGAGACAAAAGCTGAAAGATTGTAGGAAGGAGGGAAAAATCTGTGCCCAGGAGTCACCTGGACTATTGGAATGACCGTCAGCTCCCCCCCCCGCCGCCCCATGCCTCCTGCAGGAGAGGTGGTTACACTGCTCTGCAGCACAAAAGGATCCAGGCCTTCCCTAGGAGAATCTGTGAGAGGTTGCTTGAGGCAAGCGAAGGAGATCTTATTATGGTTGGATTATTTGTTCAACGTTTCCAGGAGTTCTTATTTCTGTTAAGCATATTAAAAATGCAACACAGTGTTTTAAAAACACACACACAAAAACTACAAAAAAAACAAACCCTGCAGCAGCAATTCCCGGTGGGATTAAGAGGTTGGGAGGGCATTTTGTGACTCTAAGAAGCTTTGCCTGCAGTCAACGGAAAGACGCCTTTGAGAGGGTTCCTGGATAGGCTGCTGGGGAGAGAAATGGTGTCATTCTGCCCCAAAGCGCTATAACATTTGCGTGGAAGAGACTCTGGTGTTGTCCTCCCCCATGAGGAGTGTTTCAGGCTTTCCCCAGCAAGCGTTATTGGCTGGATTTGGTATAACTCTGCATTCTCATTAGGAACTTTATACAGACTTTAAAAATGACCTTCTACTCAGAATCCCCAGTGGATAATTCCCTCTGTTACGGAATCCATAGTTTTCTGCAAGAATACTCTTTGCTTGTAGCATCAGCCATTGTGCAGTATTGGGGGGGGTGCCTGGGGGGGTGCTTTCATTTTATTTCTCCCTCTTCCCCTTTCATGGTGTATCCAGAGGTTGGAGCAATGAACTCAGGGGAGGGTTGCTGGCTTCAGGTTGGGAAATACCTGGAGATTTGGGGGGTGCAGCCTGAGGAGGGCGGGACTTGGGGAGGGGAGGAACTTTAATGGGGCATGATGCCAAAGAGTCCACCTTCCAGAGCAGCCACTTTCTCCAGATGAGCTGATCTCTGTCGCCTGGAGATCAGATATAATAGCAGGAGATCTCCAGCCACCACCTGGAGGTTGGCAACAGTAGCTCAGAACTATTGTATGTTTGGAATCACGTGCAAAGTGCCTCCATCCAGGTTCAGATCTGTACAGCTCTTTCCTATTTCAAATGTCCTCCGTTAACCCAGAGCTTGGTTACCACGGGGACCAATTACAACTCTAGGGCTCCCCTGGAGAAATAGCCACATGTGCGAAGACTGCTTTCCTCCCAACCTGGAGGCTCCTCTTGCGCTAGCGTGTTCAGGATGGTGGGGGAATCTAGGTGATACAGAGACTGAGAGCCAACCTCTAAAGTCAGAAAAGAGTTATTGAAAAGAAAATAGCATCCCTAACAAGAGCACTAGATCAGCAGATGGATTTCAAAAGAAAATTGGTCATAAATGCGACCCTTTCCCTATTCTTGACATACCCTAGCTGATGCTCAAATAGGGCAAGCTCTAATGATCTTAAGAAGTTACAAAGTTCCTATTTATGTCCCATTACCTAGGAGACTACATGGTCAGCAAAAGATGGTCGCCATAAGTGACGAATTGCGCAGAAGTTCGTTCCCTTCAAAGAATCCGCACCAAGAGACCCTTCCTCCTTGGAGCAAGGGCTTTTATTGAACCTGTGTCTCCACCCCCTTTACACCCCTTCCTCCACCCTCTTGACCTGGGTCCACCCAGGTCGCAGGTGCATCCTGGGAGCCCTCCTGGAAGGCATTCTGGGAAATCACCAGGAATCTCCTGGAGATTTCCTAGCACCAAATTCCTTAAGTATTCTCCCTACCAGGGCCATTAGCATACGTATAGATGTAATCTAGCAGGCAATTGACCTGGTTCCCTGCCATTTCCAGAGAGGGGAGAAAACCACACCACGCATGGCACATCGTTGGTTTAAATGGAAAGAGGGAGTCCTGGATGAAGAGAACATTCTCATGGCATTCTGGTTATGACCCGTAATTCCCTGGCATTTCTTTTGCAGATGATGCCCAAGGAGGACCTTTATCCCGAGATAGTGGGTACCGAGTCCTTGAGCTGAAATGTGACTTTCATTTGATGGATTTTAATGCTAATCTCATGGAGCAGTTGAGATCGGCTGTGCCTGGCATATGGTTTGCCACCTGCAAGGATAGTGGGCATCCCATGCTAGGCTGGTGGGTAGCCTGGCAAAGGCTGAAGCAGAGGCTTTGGCGGGGTTACGGTAAAGCATATACAGTGACCAGTGGGGTGTTTGTTTATTTCAATATTTGTACCCTGCCTTTCCTCTTGGTTCAAGGGTATGAACTGGTTGTACACTCTGTGGGTTACAGTGCAACTCACAGGCACCCATAAACACCCATAAACACTGCTGGCAGGCAGGACAGGGCAATGGTTAAGCTGTTCGTGCATGAAAAATAAACCGAATGGATGGGAAGCCAGGAGGCCTGGGCAGTAAGTCAGGGGGCCTGGCCCCAAGATGCCCCACTGTGGCTATGGGCCTGATCCTCTTAGCTGGAGATGCCAGGGATTGGACCTGAGACCTTCTGCATGCCACACAGATACTCTGCCCCTGAGCCACACTCCTTTGGTCATGGGGTTAGGGCAGCGGGGTAAAATTCCAGGGCTGTCAGCTATCATGGCTTCTTCCATGCAAGTCTGCTTGTGATAACTACTGAATACGTAAACTGGAGATAGAAAGGAACATTCTGGCACCAACCTTTCAGCTACATTGAATGTTAAGTTTGTAGTTAATTTCTGTGGTATTTTTGTGGATCTTGTGAAGATCCGTCCCTTCAAAGCCACGTGGTTGTGACTGCACACATTCACAGGAACCAAATGGTACCATTCTCATTGCCACATGGGAGTACTACCATTAGTACTGCAGTCTGGTGTGACCTCACCAAGACCAGTCCCGTGAGTCTCAGGGACTGGGAGTGTGGGGACTTGCCAGTTCCGGCTTGGGAAATTCCTGGAGATTTGGAGCGTAGTACCTGGGGGTATGGAGTTTGGGGAGGGGAGGTAACTCGGTGGGGATGGGATACCATAGAGTCCAGCCTCCAAAGCTGCCCTTTCCTCCAGGGGGAACTGGTCTCCGTAGTCTGGAGGGAAGGTCAGTAGTGGTGAGCAAGTGGCTTTTCAGGCCAGGCTAAGTTAGCTGTTTGCATCATAAGAACATAAGAGTTGCCAATGTTGGATCAGGCCAAAGGCCCAACCTGTCCAACACTCTGTATCACGCAGTGGCCAGAAATGCCAGTGCCATCAGGAGGTCCACCAGTGGGGCCAGGACAGTAGAAGCCCTTCCACTGTTGACCCCCCCAAGCATCAAGATGACAGAGCATCACTTACCCCAATCTATACCTTGTGGCTAATAGCCACTGACGGACCTCTGTTCCATATGCTTATCTAATTCCCTTTTGAAGCCGTCCATGCTTGTAGCCGCCACCACTTCCTGTGGCAGTGAATTCCAAGTGTTAATCACTCTTTGGGTGAAGAAGTACTTCCTTTTATCCGTTCTAACCCGACCGCTCAGCAATTTCATGGAGTGCCCACGAGTTCTTGTATTGTGAGAAAGGGAGAAAAGTAACCTCTTTCTCTACCTGCTCTTTCCCATGCATAATCTTATAAACCTCAATCATGTCACCCCTCAGTCGTCGTTTCTCCAAGCTAAAGAGCCCTAAGCGCCTTAACCTTTCCTCATAGGGAAAGTATTCCAACCCTTTTATCATTCGAGTTGCCCTTTTCTGCACTTTTTCCAAAGCTATAATATCCTTTTTAAGGTGTGGTGACCAGAATTGCACACAGTATCCCAGCCATAAACTAAAATCCTTATCTTTGAAAAAATACATTTTTGCAAATTATAGTAACAACAAGAAGGAGAGATTGGATTTATACCCCGCCCTTCACTTGTAGTCTCAGAGCGGCCTACAAACTCCTTTCCCTTCCCCTCCCCACAACAGACACCCTGTGAGGTGGGTGGGGCTGAGAGAGCTCTTGACACAAATGGCTCTTTTTCAAGGACAGCTGTGCCAGAGCTTGTGACTGACCCAAGGTCACATCAGCAGGTGCAAGTGGAGGAGTGTGGAATCAAACCTGGTTCTCCCAGATTAGAGTCCGCACACTTAACCATTACACCAAACAAAGCTTAAGTGTCTAAAGCGGCAGACTTTTAAAAAGAGAGAAAAACAGTAACCTCAATCTGCAAATTAAGTGTGGATTTCCAGACGTGTATAAAAGGTTCCCAAACACTAATGAACTTTGTTTTCGACTGTCTTCCCTCCTTCCAGTGTTGCTTCTCGGTCAGCTTGGCCAGTTTCACAGTTTGCCAGATCTTTCAAATCTGCTCTTTAATTGACAGGTTTTTAGGAGCATGCTGTTTTGAATAATAATTTTTGTGACCGTTAGCAAATTGGCAGTTCCGTGAAAACGAGTCTTCGCTGCATCATGATTCTGTGGCTTGCTTTGCAACTTTAGTGCAGAAGGTTGTTCCTTTTGCAGGAGATGTGACTCTCTGGGGAATTCGGCAGGCTACTGGATTACCTGTTGTTAGTGTTGCCAATCTCCAGGTGAAGCCAGGATATCTCCTGGAATACCAGCTGATCTCCAGACTATAGAGATCAGTTCCCCTGGAGAAAATGGCTGCTGTGGAGGGTGGACTCTCTGGCGTTATACCCCAATGAAGTCAGCAAGCTAGTGGGTTATCTGTTGTTAGGGTTGCCAACCTCCAGGTGAAAAGAAAAACTTCATTGATTCATAAGAACATATGATGGGAGAAGCCACTGTGAGATCAGGCCAATGGCCCATCCAGTCCAACACTGTCACACAGTGACCAAAAATACCAGGTGCCATCAGGAGGTCCAGCAGTGGGGCCAGGACACTAGAAGCCCTCCCACTGTTGCCCCCCCCCCACCAAGCACCAAGAATACAGAGCATCACTTGCCCCAGACTGAGAGTAACTAATAGCCACTGATGGACCTCTGCTCCATATGTTCATCCAATTCTCCCTTGAAGCCATCCAAGCTTGTAGCCACCGCCACCTCCTGTGGCAGTGAATTCCATGTGCTAATCACTCTTTGGGTGAAGAAGGACTTCCTTTTATCTGTTCTAACCCGACTGCTCAGCAATTTCATTGTTCTTGTATTGTGAGAAAGGGAGAAAAGTATTTCTTTTTCTACCTGCTCTATTCCATGCATAATCTTATAAACCTCGACCATGTCACCCCTCAGCCGTCGTTTCTCCAAGCTAAGGAGCCCCAAGCGTTTTAACCTTTCTTCATAGGGAAAGTGTTCCAATCCTTTTATCATTCTAGTTGTGCATTTCTGCACTTTTTCCAATGCTATAATATCCTTTTTGAGGTGTGGTGACCAGAACTGTACACAGTACTCCAAATGAGGTCACACCATCGATTTACACAGGGGCATAAATCGATCATGGCTGATTTGTTTTCAGTTCCCTTCCTAATAATCCCCAGCATAGCGTTGGCCTTTTTTATTGCAGTCGCACACTTTCTAGACATTTTCATTGAGTTATCTACTACAACTCCAAGATCTCTCTCTTGGTCAGTCTCTGCCAGTCTTTGTCATAATACTCATTCATGAAACATTTCACATATATACCGTACAAATCCTCAGTGAAGTTCAATCGAGTGTAAAGCATAAAGCGTCCATTTGCTAATATGCACACCAAAGGTTTCTCAATAAATCTTGTGGCAATAAGGACAAACCTCTTGTCATAAATACACAATATGTCTCCCAAAGAACCTTGTGGCAAAAAGAAAAAGTCTCTTCTTATAACACTGACATAGACACAAAGTCTCTAGTCACTCTGTAGATGTATAAAACACATTAGAGATGTGCGGCAGATTCCAAATGCTGTTACTCCCCTCTGTCCTCTTATTTGTAATTTCTTCTTACATTTGAACAGTTTTATTGGACAAGGTCATTTCATCTGACGGACTTCTGCAGATAGAATCCATTTCAAGGACACTTTATCAAAGACGGAACTCCACACTGTCCAAACATCATATTCGTCTTCACGTCTCACAGAATGCACTCAAGAACAATCACGATTCACTCTGTGCCAAAATTTTCAGTCAATTTTTGTCTCTATTTTCTGTGGTTCTTTTTTTTTGTACAACCTCCAGGTGAAGTCAGGTCAGGACATCTAGAACAGTGGTGGCGAACCTATGGCACGGGTGCCAGAGGTGGCACTCAGAGCCCTCTCTGTGGGCATGTGTGCCATCGCCCCAGCCAGGCCCAGACCATCATTAAAGTGTCAAATTCTATGCCAAATAATTTTAAGTAAATGAAAGCATTTGGGATTGCTTTCCTTACTTTGTTTGGATCATCTTAAGTTAATGTATGAGTTGTTTTTTCTACAGTAAAACCTCAGTATTCAGGTTAAATTGCCGTGTTGGCACTTTGCGATAAATAAGTGGGTTTTGGGTTGCAGTTTGGGCACTCGGTCTCTAAAAGGTTCGCCATCACTGTCCTAGAATTACAGCTCATCTCCAGACTACAGAGATCGGTTCCTCTGGAGAAAATGGCTGCTTTGGAGGATGGACTCTGTGGCATTCTACCCTGCTGAGGCCCCTCCTCTCCTCAAACCCCACCCTCCCAAACTCTCCAGGAATTTGCCCACCCGGAACTGGCAGCCCTGTGGCTGTTTTGGTTTAGGGCAGAAATGGTGCCATGGTTGTTCTGTGGTGGAGTGGCAGAGAATCCTGAACCGCCAAGGGTTTCAGAACTCCTAGTCGCGTACATACAAACCTCATGTTTCTATTGCTGATTTATGCCCCCTTAGCCCCGTCGGAGTTCTTTTCTAGTTGTTTGTTGTAGGGGGAGGGAAACTTTTCAGGGGTTATTTTTAAATAACCTCGTTGGGCCACAAACTCGCACTCATGCAACTTTAAAAATATCCCTTTGTGCATGTGCATTTTTTCCCATGCAGTTGTTATGTTTGGCCGGAAACTGTGCAGAGGGATTCTGAAGTGATATGTCTGCTCTTTTCACATATAAAGTGGGCTGGGGAGTTTCTTTTTTTAGCATCCGAAGAAGAGTGTGGGTCAGAAGAGCTAAACCCTTCTTCACATCCTTGCTGTGTTCTGTCCATGCCAAGCTTTGACACAGGAAGTCTGCTGGGCTGGGCGGGGAACAGACCCTCCCCTCCCCATGCCTCGCTGCTAAAAATCCTGCACCAAACCACACTGCATTCCATGACTTGCATATATTCCCTGTTTCATAATTTATTCTGAATTCATGTTTAAGGGGGTGGGGCTGTGGCATAGCGGTAGAGTGTCTTCTTTGCATGCAGAAAGCCCTAGTTTCTGTTGAAATATGCAAGGTCTATTGTCCATAGATAAAGGAAATGACAAGAACATCCTGCAGGGGGCAGCAGAGGGGACAACTAGTTAGCATAGTGAGATTACGGACTTCCTACTGTCTTCAAATAGTCTCCTTCCTGTCTCCTGTTTGGCTTAGTTAGGCTCTTCCTGCTCCTGGTGAGAGCTGTTAGGTTACTGACTCTCTCCCTGCTAGTTAGACAGTTAGACTTCTCTTTCTGTCTCCTCTTTCTTACAAAGTTTGTTCCCTTCTCTTAATAAACCTACTTTATTATTTAAACAGCTTATGCTCCGCTTTACTGCATATCAACGTTCTGCCAACCGTTTCAAAACCCTGCTGCTGACTCCAGTTAAACAGATCAGGGAATGGATAATATGAAAGGCCTCTACCTAAGACAAAGGAGAGCTGCTGCCCGTTAGAGCAGCCCATGCAGTCCTGGATAAATCTGGTATAAGGTAACAGTAAAGGTTCCCTTGCTTGAAAGCCAGTCGAATCCGAATCATCTCCGTTTCAAAGCCAAAGAGCCAGCGCTGTCCGAAGACGTTTCCGTGGTCATGTGGCCGGCATGACTAAACACCAAGGCACACGGAACGCTGTTACCTTCCCACTGAAGTGGTACCTATTTATCTGCTTGCAATTTCTTGCTTTCGAACTGCTAGATTGGCAGGAGCTGGAACTAGAGACGGGAGCTCACTCCGTCATGCGGCACCCGGGTCTCGAACTGCTGAACTACCGACCTTCCACAGCCTGCAGTTCAGCGTCTTAACCACTTGAGCCACCGCAGCTCCTTAAATCTGGTATAAGGCAGCTTCATTTTAGGGTTGCCAGGTCCTACCTGGCATCCAGCGGGGGGCTCCTGGGTCCTTCCTGGGATCTTCTGCTGCACATGTGAAGTGTGTGCAGCATGATGACATAACCCGGAAGTGATATCATCATGCCACCAACATCGGGGTGACACTCTAGGTTTTTTTTGGCAAAACTCTATGGTTTTTTGCCTTCAAAACCACAAGAGTTTTCCCAAAAAACTAGAGCATCACCCCCCTGACATCGGCGACTTCCAGGTGACATCATAGCATCGGGGACCTTGCCTGGCGACGTCCATGTTCAGTGTGGGGCTTCTCCCACCAGCCAACTGGAGACGGCAGATCAAAGCCCTGAAAAGTGGGGGCTGGGAACCCTACTTCATTGGTATTCTGCTTCTAGTAGAAAAAAGCTACACAAGTCATAGAGCTTCTGTTCTTGACTATTGGGAATACTGTTCACACTCTCCGTGAGAGTTGAAAAACCCAGATATTGCATACATGTTTCCAAGTTTGCTGGAAGAATCTTGAGGACTAGGAAGTTCAAACGTCCCCTCTTAAAAAATACAGATTTGCAAGTTGCTGAATTCTGTGCCCAGTACCAGTTTCTCTGGTGTGGTTGTAGATGGCAGAAATCCATGACTGCAGAATACATACCTTGCCTTTGAAGCAAGTGCTCTTTTTAGTGCTGAACGCCACAGTGCCTTCCCATACAGTCTGTGGATGAAGGGGGGAAATGTAACTTTCAAGTCCTGAGTGAAGGCGGTGTGTCTGTTCAGCCTGCGATGATGCGGGGGTGGGGAGTGAGCCCAAAGAACCAGGAGTATACTGGAGGCGATGAAAAGCCGAGGTTTTGCGATAATGGGTCTCGGCCTAATATTATCCCTTGCCACCAGCAGAGCGATTAGGGGACCTGGCTTCACTCTGGCATTTTAGTGGCAGCCTAATAGCTTGTAATGTTGAGCTTTGTGGTGAGCTTAGAGCACTTCCCACAGAGGGATCCTGAGGAAACGTTGGGCTGTTCCGGAAGTCCTTTGGTGTTGGCCAGGTCCCATCTTGCTTCCTTTTGTCAAACCGTATCTGGGAGACTTGCTAATCAACATCTTGCTGGTTCCCCCCCTTGGTTCCAAGGGGATCCCTTCATCTCTGGCCTGGCGCATCTCATCCGGCTTTTCCTCTTCCTGCTGTTCTGAAGGGCTGGGCTGCCCGGGGAGGTGTTTGATCAGAGAGAACTAGGCCGGCTCGCTTAAAATATTAATCGGTTTCTTCCTTTGCTGACGCTGAAACACCTTGCAGCGTTTCTCTGGCCGCGTTGCGTAGGCGAGCATCAGCCAGCCTCCCCACTAAGACTGCACCAGCTTGGCTTTAATGGAGTATTGACTTCTCTACAAACAGGGCCGGTGGCAGAATTACTGTGTTTACTAGTCTGGTTGGTATGTTGAAGGGGGTCCAAATGGATTCGAACTAGTGCTGTCAACCAATTAAAGAATTGTTAGGTGATTGATGATAATGCTTTTTTAAAAAAAAATTACACTGATACTTAGCCCTTACATTGTACTTTCAGTGTTCAAAGGGCTTCATACATGCTATCTTGTTCTAATCTTTTACAACAGTGCTGTAAATAAGACTGGTGGTGTTCTTATTGTCCCTATACTGGCGATGAGGCTGAGAGCAACAGTTGTCTTAAAGCAATAATCCCCAGTGTGGCACCCACCAATGTATTTCCTGATGGCTGCTTGCTTTTCCCCTACATAGGTTCCCAAACGTATTTGGCTTACCGCCAAAAGGCTGCTTTAGATAGGTTCTAGACTCTTCTTTCTTTATGCCACCGCACCCTTATTTATATTTAACACCCCCCAATTGCACCCAAGGCTCCAACTGCCCACCTGGATCATTTCAACACCCTGAGGGGGTGGTGTTGCCCACTTTGGGAACCAGTGCGGCCTAAAGTTAAGGGCCAGTCATCATGGTCCTGCACTCCTTTTGATATGGGTGGGGGGAATTCAGAAGTTCCAAGGAGGCATCATCTCTGGGTTTGAAGGGAACATCTCTCCAGAAACTGATGCCTCCATCACAGATGATCCTGAGCAGAGAACTGCCCAGTATTTGGGATTGCTCCCTCCCCATGGCAGCCATTTTGTAGAGATATACACTGCCCTTTTTCAGAATTCTGAAACTACCCACAGGTTTAACAGGTTTGGGGACCCTGTCCCTTAAGCCAACCTAGTGAGTTTGGGATAGAGATGGGCCTCCCAGGTCACAGGTCATTAGCTTAGCTACTGTGTTATACCACTTCACTCCGATCTAGGGCTGCCAAGTGGGGGCGGGGGGTGGGTAAACCCCCGCTTTGGAGGCCCGATTTCCGCCGCTGCGGAATCGGGCCCCGGGAGGAACTCTGCCCCCCGAAGCGCAGCGTGACTGCGTCACCAGAGGTGACGCAACCACGTTGATCACGTTGGGGGCGTGGCCCGGATCGTTGGAGGGAAAACTCTATGGTTTTCCCTCCGATGATCAGGGCCACGCCCTCAACGTGGTCGACGTCGCACCGGTGAGTTTTTTAGACTTGGCAACCCTACTCTGATCTGATTACTTTTAATATTTCAATAGATCAAAATGGGTAGCCATGTTAGTCCATCTGTAGTAGTAGAAAAGAGTAAGAGTCCAGTAACACTTTAAAGCCTAACAAAATTTGGGGGGGGAGGGTATCATCCCCTCCCGCCACAAATTTTGGTAGTCTTTAAGGTGCTACTGGACTCTTAATCTTTTCTAATATTTCGATAGATTTGCTTCTTACACATTTTTGGCATAAGTCTCCGTGTTTTTGAGATCTTGAAGGAACTATGAGATTACCTGTGCTTATGAACTTGTAAATTTGTCATTCCTTGTTGGTGGACGCTACTCAATCCTTCTTCAGTCCTTCTTGCAAGACGAAGGAGAGGGAAGGAGGCTGTAGGCAAAACAAGCTGGATCTCCTCATGTTTGTCCCCTTTGCAGCACTGTCTGAGGAGCCGCTCAGCATGGCCGGCCGGAAGTGCAACACCATCTACAAGGGCTTTGCGGATTGCCTGATCAGCCTCGGGGACAGCATGTCTCAGAGTGTTCAGCAACAGCAGGACGAGAGCAGCCAAGAACTGCAGGAGTTGGAGACCATTTGCAAGTGAGGACGGGGTGACCGGAATATGGGGTTTTCAGATGTCCACCACTATACTCTTTGGCAGATAATTCTGCATGTCTAAAAATGCATCTTTTCATAAAATTACTGGGTTGCCAACTTTGGGTCTGGAGATTTTGGAGAGCCTAGGAAAGATGGGGTTTGGGGAGGGGAGACAGCTCAGCAGGGTATAACGCCATAGAGTCCGCCCTCCAAGCAGCCATTTTCCCTAGGAGAACTGACTTCAGAGATCAGTTGTAATTCTGGAACATCTCCAGGCCCCACCTGGAAACTGGCAACCGTATGGGTTGGATCCTACCAGTTTTTCTGCCATATAAGATGGAGAAGGGGACCATTTTGACCTCTGAAAAGGCTGGGCTTGGAGATCATTGGACTTGCGTAGTCAAATGATGTCAAATAGAGAAGCTAGTAGGGTCCAACTGAATTCAGTTGGCCCTTTCAAAGTTGGCCCTTTCAAAGTTGTGATTAACCCCCCCCCCCCCCTCCCACAGGTGACTATCAGGAGTAAGCATAAAGATGGATCCACACCATGGGAGTAGATGACAGATATATTTCAGCTTTGTTTTACACACAAATTATAAAACATATTAAGTATGCTTCCCCCACTTCCCCAAGCAACTATTTTTGGCTGTTGGAAAAGCTTTTGAGGTACACATCAAATTTACATGGCATACCTTTTTAAAAAGCTAAACATAATTTATGTGAACACGCTAAACCAAATCCTAGTCTATTTAAGGCATTGGAATCTATCTTAAATTTTGGGAGAAACCCACATTATTTAGCAGATTGTAGCGGGTTTTTTTTAAGAAAAAAGCGCGCGCGCACACACACATATAGTGGCACATGGAGGGAATTATTCACACTGGACCACATGAGGCCAGATCTAAAGATAGACCTTAGCAGCCATGTTCTCTCATACCCACCAGGGTTTCCTTTCATATTAAATATAATTCTACTGAACCCATGTCGAACCTTCTACTGAGTCTTGGTTTATCAGGGTCTGAATTGTCTACTCACACTGGGAATCTGGGAACTTCTGCATGCACGGCAGATGCTCTGCTGCTCAGCTATAGCCCGTCTCCCTGCTGCGAGTGAACGAGAGCACACTTTATTATTTATTGTATCTCACTTCATAGGAGTGCTTTCAAAATGGTATAGATGGAGAAACATAGAACAGCTGTAGTCGGAGACGGTGGCTCAGTAGTAGAACAAATGCTTTACATGCGGAAAGTTCTAGGTTCAGTTCCTGGCCTCTTAAAGGAAGTGTGGGGAAAAGGTCTTGCTGTACCTGAGACCCCGAAGGGGCTACTAAGAAGAGATTGGATTTATACCCCGCTCTTCACTACCTGAAGGAGTCTCAGAGTAGTTTACAATCCCTTTCCCTTCCCCTCCCCACAACAGACACCCTGTGAGGTAGGTGGGGCTGAGAGAGCTCTCTTGAGAACTGCCCTTGAGAGAACAGCTCTGAAAGAACTTATAACTGACTCAAGGTCACACCAGCAGCTGCACGTAGAGGAGCGGGGAATCAAACCCAGTTCTCCGGATTAGAGTCCACCGCTCTTAACCATGGCACCAAACTTGGCTCTCTACTAATCAGCAGTGAGCAAGAGGTACCAATGGTCTGACAGTGTACACGGCAGCTTCATAGATGTCCATCTGCCTCAAGGCCACCACAAGATTTATCCAGTTCCTGCAGGGTTAAGCATTCCTTGTAAGAACTTCGTAATACTTGAGGCAGTTGTCAGATGGATATGGCAGATCCAAAGGTCTAGATCAAGAACAGATGGATAAGTGCGGTGGGGATGAGGGAAGAGACGCTGAGAAGGAAGTGGACTGAGAAGGGCTTTGGTATAAAGATGGTTTGCTTCAACAAAGGAAAGGGGTAGAACGCAGGAAGTTCAGTGTGGGGGAGGGGGGAAACAGGAGAAGAAGCCCAAATCAGATAAGGGTTAGAAACTGGTGGCCCTCGAATGGGAATTCGACCAGAGAGCGGGATGCTATTCCAGCCTCCAACAAGAGAAGCAGTCCCTTGCGAGTGGGGAGAGAAGGAATATTATACAAGGTGTGGGAGGGGATGTGATCTGGAATAGATACAGACACCTGGGAGCAATGCTCCCTCTAAGCTGTGGAGTCTTGTGAGCAAAAAATTCTACTTTGTGAGCCACTGGCATTAAAGTCGTGAGAGAGCGATTTGGCTACAGCATGAGTTAGTTTGCTCTCTGGAGCCCTCCTTCCTGAGCGAAGACAAAAAAGGTGTGAGCCGGAAGCTAAAAAACTGTGAGCTAGCTCACACTAACTCAGCTTAGAGGGAACACTGCCTGGGAGTTCTGTGCATGTGCTGTAAGGTGCTGCAGGGTGACTGTAAGGAAAAAGCCACAGCCTTGCAGTTAAAGTTGATGTGCATATGCTGCACTTGAACCAAGTATAGGGATGACAATTTCGGGCATGGCTGCCCAGCCCGTTGGGGAATACAACCGCTGCTCTGTGCAGCTATTTTTACGTAGGGAAGTGCTTCAGTGAAGAGCCCCCCAAAGACTAGCTGCGAGTCCTGCTTGGCGCTCACTCGGATTCCCTCTTCCGCAGGTCCTGGGATGACTTCCACACCTGTGCCAGCCAGGTGCTGTCCCGATGCCCCGACGAGGCAGCAGCCATCTGGGAGTCGCTTCGGCAAGAGTCCCGGAAGTTCCAGTTCCAAGGAAACCTCCACGACCTGTGTAGCTCGCGGGCCCAGCCGGCTGGCAACGGAAGAGCTCTGGATGTGGATGAAACCAACAAGGAAACCCTGCGGGGGTCGGCCCGGCTTCCGCGGCCCAGCCTCTGGGGCAGCCTGACTCTCGTGACTCTACTGCTCGCTTTGGCGCCTTTGGCCTAGCCGAGGAGTGGGGGGAGGGGGAGGCCCTCCTCCCTTGCGGCCCGCCGTAGTACAGACTGGTTGCCCGGGCACTGCCCTGTCCCAGGGACTCGGTTCAGACTCAGAAGTTGGCAGCCTCTGCCCATGCAGGGGCAGGGTGGCTCGCTGGGTGAAGGAGGCAAGGGGACGTGAGCTCACCGCCCTCTGCCTGCCCTGCTCAGGAGACCTGGCTAGTGATAAAGGTGCTCCCTTTGGCTCTGTGCCAGTCTGCAACCTGCAGGCACCCCCCGACGTTGCCCTGTCCTCCCGCCGCCCGTGTTTCTCCACCTTACATACCTTCCTAGCTTTCCAGCCCTTCTTCCCCCCCGGACTCTCCTGTTGCCCTCGGCCCGGGAGACCTCTAGAAATAGCATCTCAGAGCCACAACCCTTGTAGCAATGAGAGTGTCGGCTCGGCCCACTCTTTGCACCATCCTCACGGGTTGCTGGTGCTCCGGGGAGACCTAGAGGTGGTCGTGCCAGTGTGAAATGGCAGCCGATGTCTCTTCGTATGGAGAGAGTCCTGCGACATGCTCGGAGCAAAACCCAGGGTATGCACAGATACACTCTGTGCACACCGAATTCTGCGCATATGTATTTGGCTAATTGCATATGGCTCTTCTCTCCACTGCCTCCAGTGTGCCCAAGAGAGGCTTGTGGCTGGACATCCCGATCTGCAACCATCAGTCATTCCTTGGGCTTGCTGGACCTCCATTATTATTATTTTGCCATTTTGAAGGGTGCAGTTCCTTCACTGGTGGGATTTTGTTTGTTTGTTTGTGTGCCTGTGGAGTTTCCCCCCCCCCTTTTCCCCTGAGCTCCCTGCAGCATTGCATTTACCCACTGGGCACAGATGGTAGAGGAACTGGCTTGTACAATAGGCAATGCCAAAAGGATCCTCTGTGACCCCCCTGAACTGACACACATTCTGTAGGGGATGCCAGCCTCCAGGTGGGACCTGGGGACCCCCTGGAATTAAAGCCCATCTCTAGACTACAGAGGTCAGGTCCCCTGGAGAAAATGGATGCTCTGGAGGGTGGACTCTGTGGTATTGTGCCCCACTGAGGTCCCTGTCCTCCCCGGGCTCCATCTCCAAATCTCCAGGAGTTTCCCAACCTGGATCTGGCAACTCTACCCCCTCATCCACTGCTGATGGCCAGGGGGCACCTGGCAACCCCAGATTCCTGCCCCATTGCCCTGCCAGAGCAAGTGGTCTTCAATCCATGGGTTGTGACCCTCGAGTAGCTTTCAGAGCCACACCCGCCATGTTTTGGGCCCCTGCAGAGCCGCCTGCCTTTATTTTCATCTTTATTTTATTACTGCTTTTGGAAGCATCTGTTGCTAGTGTGCATGCACGGAGAGCAAGGATCCCGTGCTTCCTGCCTCTCTCTCTCTCTCTGCGCACGCGTTTGATGAGAGAATCAGCAGGGTGGTAACGCAATGTTCCCTCTAAGCTGAGTTAGTTTCAGCTAGCTCACTGTTTTTTAGCCTACAGCTCACACATTTTTGTCTTAGCTCAGGAAGGATGGCTCCAGAGCAAACTAATTTATGCAGCAGCCAAATCAGTCGCTCACAACTTTAATGCCAGGAGCTCACAAAGTAGAAGTTTTGCTCACAAGACTCCACAGCTTAGAGGGAACATTGGTGGTAAGCTCATTCAATGGTGCAGCAGCTTCCGTATGTTTTAATGCTGGTGCCAGGGCCAGACCAAGTTTTCTGTTTTGTGCTTCTGTGTATGCCCTAGACAAGTTCTGACTCTGGCACCCCACCTCCATTGAATACAACGGATACTGTGAAGCCTAGAGCAAACGTTTTACTAAGTAGGCATTCAAAATGCACAGTGTAAAAAATTTAAAAAGCTCTCCAAAAGTTCCCATCCTGGCAGCTGGAGAAGGCCAGAGCTAACCGATATGGAGATTCTAGAAGCCCGCTGATGCTAAGCTTCACTTCAAGCCAGTAGAATAAGCCCTTCTTGCCTTTGTCGGGCACCCCTCGAAATCTGGTGCCCGAGGCAATTGCCTAGCTTTGCCTACTGGTCTGGCCGACCCAGCAGGCATCCCTCCCTGCAAAAGCTTTTCCTGCCTGCTCCTCGCCTGCCACAGACTGGACCAGCCAGCCCTGCCAGTGGGCCCTGCCAGTGCTCTGTCTGTGCTAGCAATACAGTGCTCCCCACCCCACCAGTGAGGTCATCACTCTGGCCCCTCCCCTTCCCGTCATGTGCTTGCAGCTCAGTGCGTGCCATACTGATTCTGGGGCAGGGGCACAGGTTGAAGTCAGTCACAGACCTAGGAAGGCTGAAAGACATTGCGTTAGAGCGTGTCTCTGCGTCTGGCTCTCTCGGGGCTAGATCCGGAACACGCTTTTGTATAATTAATTTCTTTCTCGTGGAGACATTTTGGGGAGGCGGCTAGTTAGGAGATGTTTACCCAAGGAGGATATTGGGGGGGGGGGGGCTTTCCAGTATGGTCTGGGATCCATTCAGACGGCTCCTCTGTTACTGCCGCACAGGTGTCTCAAAACGGGTAGTCGTCTTAGTCTGGCTGTAGTGGTAGAAAAGATCAAGAGTTCAGTGGCACCGTAAAGACTAATTTGTGGCAGCGTAGGAGCTTTCATGAGTCACCGCTCATTTCGATGAAAGATAGTCTTTACGGTGCTACTGAACCCTTGCTCTTTTCTACTGACAGAGGTATCTGTTAGCCGACTTAAAGGAAAATGGATGAGCCATGTTCGTTCAGAGCCTCCCTCCCCCCCTCCCTCCCACCCCCCCACCTCGCTGGTATCATCAGCTGTTTTAATGTATCTATATATTTATATTAAAAGGCACTTTTACATTTCTCTTGCCCTGTCCTGTCACCTGTGTTACGCCTGAGGCTTGTGTGGGTTGTATTTTCTGCCTGTATGAAGTCTCCAGTCCCAGTCATGACGATCACTCGGGAATTGGGCTTTTCAGGTCAACGTGTTCGGAACTTCATTTTTAAGGCTGTCCGATGCCTTACCGAGTGAGAGCCGTCTTCCTTGGGCTGGGCGTATTTTCAAAAGTGAGGTATAAATAACGAAATAAATAAATCACCGTGGCAAGAAGACCTTTTTTTCTAAAATTGGGCAGGAAATCTTGGCAGTTCTTCATGTCTGCCTTCTCGGCATCGGATCTTGGGTTGGAACAAGTTGAGGGGAAACCGCCTCGGGTCATTTTCCCCCCTCCCCTTTGCCTTGGCACACAGAATGCTGGAGACGCAGGGACTGGGGAAGGGGGGGGAGAGGGCGTGCCCTTAAGGGTATTAACAGCTTGGCTTGGCTTTCAGCTCAGGGTTCCCAGCATCGCTTGCCCACAATGTAATTAATCTGACCTTTTTGCCTAAAGCTTCCATTCAACACCCACCTCTTTGTTAGCCCCATTAAACCCTTGCGTCAGGTCTGTTGCCACGCTGTGCGTCTCCTGACACCCTGTGTCTATTTGCTGTCTCCAAGGTTGAGACCATTTCCATTGCTGTGATGGTGAGATGGGTTCGATTCCCACCCACCCCCACCCCAAACTTTCTCTCTTTTTTCAAATGAATGTAGGAGTGAAATTGACGGGCAGTAGGTTCAGGACAGACAAAAGGAAACACTCCTCTACTGAATGAGTAATTAAAGGGGTTGGAACACTTTCCCTATGAGGAAAGGTTAAGGCGCTTAGGGCTCTTTAGCCTTGGAGAAACGACGTCTGAGGGGTGACATGATCGAGGTTTATAAGATTATGCATGGGAAAGAGCAGGTTGAGAAAGAGGTGCTTTTCTCCCTTTCTCACAATACAAGAACTCGTGGGCACTCCATGAAACTGCTGAGCGGTCGGGTTAGAACGGATAAAAGGAAGTACTTCTTCACCCAAAGAGTGATTAACACATGGAATTCACTGCCACAGGAAGTGGTGGCGGCTACAAGCATGGACGGCTTCAAAAGAGAATTAGATAAGCATATGGAGCAGAGGTCCATCAGTGGCTATTAGCCACAAGGTATAGATAGGGACTCTGGGGCAAGGGATGCTCTGTCTTCTTGGTGCTTGGGGGGGGGGGGGGCACTAGGGGGGTGGTTTTGAATGCCCGGTACTGGTGGACCTCCTGATGGCACTGGTATTTCTGGCCACTGCGTGACACAGAGTGTTTGGCCTGATCCAACATTGGCGTCTCTTATGTTCTTATGTTCTTAAATTGTAGGGAAAGCTAAATCCGAGTCCAGTAGCATCTTAGAGGCCAACAAGGTTTTCAGGGTATGAGCTTTTGAGGGTCACAGCTCCCTTCGTCGATAACTGGCAAAGCGAGCTTTGTGTCTTGCAAGCTTCCATCCTGGAAATCTTGTGGGTCTCTTAAGGTGCTCGTGGACGTGGATATAGCTCCTTCTACTTCAGGTCAACATGGCTACCCTCCTGAAACTAAATTGGGGGATTTGCTGCTAGAGGATGGAGAGACAGACAGTTGTCAGCAGGGAAGAAGAAGAAGAGACTGGATTTATACCCCGCCCTTCACTACCCAAAGGAGTCTCAAAGCGGCTTACAAACTCCTTCCCCTCCTCACAACAGACACCTTGTGAGGTAGGTGGGTCTGAGAAAGCTCTGATAGAAACTGCTCTTTTTCAAGAACAGCTGTGCCAGAGTTATGGCTTGCCCAAGGTCATCCAGCCAGGTGCAAGTAGAGGAGTGGGGAATCAAACCTGGTTCTCCCAGATTAGAGTCTGTGCACTGAACCACTACATCAAACTGGCTCTTTCGAAGGGGGTTAGATTCGTAGAGGAGAGGTCCATCAGTGACTACTAGCCCTGATGACTAAAGGGCACTTTTGCATCCAGAGGCAGCCGACCTCTGGAAACCAGTGTGAAGGGGGCAACATCAAGGGGAGGTCTCAGCTTCTGTGCTCTGTTGGCTGGCCCTCCAGTACACCTGGGTGGCCACTGTGTGAAACAGGATGCTGGATTTGATAGACCATTGGTCTGACCCAGCAGCGGGGTCTT